TTACGTGATTGTATCCTTGCAAACTTGGTATAACATTCAATTGGTACATAAGGAAGGTTATAGATTATGGTTGCAACAGATAGTTGATAACCTCGCCCTTTGTCGAAAAAGACGTAACCGTGCAAGGTGGCAGTGCTCTTTTGAGCACATCCCCACAATCAAACGACGCTAATGCAGCCGGATGACATTTAAGCTTGGCTGTGATACCCTGCCGTTCGGCAAGGATCTTGAGTTTAAATTTTGATGCAGCTTGATGACACTGACGGCATTCCGAACTTAGCCCGCCCCTGCCAGTGTTCTATTGCGCTCAAAGAATAGTCGTACCCCTTAGGCTACTCGAAAGTCTTCGTCCCTCGTTCATCTGGCAAAGGGCATGTTTTCGGTGTATGAAGTCTATTGTCTGAATGATGAGACTCTGATGTGCCTTCTTCAGCGGTTAGTCTTCAGTTAACATCAAGGAAGACCAGTCCAGTGACCAAATCCAAAGAAGATTGTAGGAGAAATTTTATCGATATGGCGGTACCGGCTTAGCGTATGCTCGCTGTTGGTGACTGACCCAGTCGTAAGTTGGCGACCAGGGGTAGCCTTGGTAGCATCTGGCGATGTCAGCCAAAAATGGGGCCTCTAGGTATATCGTAATTACTTTCTACTCGGACGCACACGGCATTACCAATCATGCTTAAGTGACTGAGACCTTAAGACTTGTGGTCTGGGGCTGACGCGTGGCACTTTGATGATATCGGCCCTTTCGGATGGTGAACTGCCTCATTCGAATATGACATCAACGTCGATCCATGATGATGAATCGCAATAGAACCGTTTCTAGAACGCTGGGTATAAATCAGAGAGGGAGCGCCGTGGACGAAGCTTAGTTTCATCCAGATCATACCATCCTCATCATCAGGTTCTGTCACTGCCTTACGCGTCAACCCACCTTAGATAAACACCATGAAGATCTCTGGAAGTAGCACTGTTGCGCTGGCTCTCGCGGGCACGAAGGTAGCATCCGCTCAGAACCTGTCTTATGGAGCCGACAACTTCTACCGCAGCGACATCGTGACGGTGCAGCCTATCACCTTCCCAACTCAGAACCAGTTCACCGTCGCTGGCAACCTCTTCATCCGCAACAACGCCAGCCGTCCACTCTCTGCCCCAGCCATCGTCGTCGGCCACCCCATGGGCGCAACCAAAGAGCAGAGCGCCAACCTCTACGCCACAAAGCTCGCCGAGCAAGGTTTCGTCGCCATCTCCATTGATGTCTCTTTCTGGGGCGGCAGCGAAGGCGAGCCACGCAACGCCGTCTCTCCAGACCTCTACTCAGAGGCCTTCAGCGCAGCAGTCGATTACCTCGGCCTCCAAGACTTCGTTGACCGTGAACGTATCGGTGGTCTGGGCATCTGCGGTAGCGGCAGCTTCGTCATCAGCGCTGCCAAGATTGACCCCCGCCTCAAGGCCATCGCGACTTCTAGCATGTACGACATGGGATCTGCCGCCCGCAACGGTTTACGCCACGCAGTGAGCCTCGAGCAGCGCAAAGAGATCATTGCTGCAGCTGCGGCGCAGCGCTGGGTTGAGGCGGCTGGAGGCGAAACTGAGTACACTGGCGGAACCCCCCACGTGCTGACCAACGCGTCGACGGCGGTTGATCGTGAGTTCTACGACTTTTATCGTACCCAGCGCGGCGAATTTACTCCAGAGAACACGACAGCGAACCTCACTACCCACCCTACTCTTTCCAGCAACACCAAGTTTATGAACTTTTACCCATTCAACGACATCGAGACGATTTCGCCGCGCCCGTTGTTGTTTGTCTCGGGCGACCAGGCTCACTCCCGCGAGTTCAGTGAGGATGCCTACGCACGTGCTGCTGAGCCGAAGGAACTCGTTTGGGTTCCTGGTGCGGGACATGTTGATCTCTACGATCGTGTGGAGCTTATCCCCTTCGATAGGCTCACCCAGTTCTTCCAGAAGAACCTGGCTGCCAACGCAACGAGCTTGAGGGCGCAATAGAATACAAAGTTCGGAAGTACAGGTTGAAGTCGCTCGCGTCTATGAGTCATAGGTTCTAATGAGATATTCGCTCGATGGAGTGGCAGAGTTGTAGAAAGGAGGGGGAAATCTTATGTCAGTGTGCCAGATGCTTGGTATGTAAGTCAACCTGAACTGCGGGATTTCTCTGCCATGGTATAGTAGGTTAGATTACAAGTAGTTTACTTCAATTTCGTCAAACCTAGGCTTACATAAGTTCTTTCACATGGAACCAAGAAGCGAATCATTCTCTGTGTCGTTGCTTCGCGTGCGGCTCGTGACCGCCGTGAGCCGGCACTCATTACCCATTTTCGGTGTTGCTGACCCGAAGCAAAAGTCCGGGCGTTATCGCGCATATCCCCAGTTCCTCAAGTTTTATTTACCAGGTATCTAGGCAGAGAACCAAACCTGGCTGATAAAAGTTCAACCTGAAATTTGCGACAAAGGCATTGTCTAGGTAGGGGGCTTAATCCTCTGTCTAATTCCTCCTTTTACCCTCATTACTGCTTCACTTACCCAAGGTCCCTTAAGGTAAGGTACTCACTTCTCATCGACGCCTTTCTGCACTGGTATATACAGCCAATCTAATATGTTTGAGTATTCACTGTCATTCGAGCGCTATTTGGGCCTCATCAAGTGATGATGTGCTGTTAACCTGGCGGCTGGAAGATCAATCAAAAGGTCACGTGGGGTACTTGGCCACTACTTGGAGGAGACAACGGAGAGACTGTTTTTGGGCCTCGGTAAGGTTTCTGCACAATTGACCATCTGCGGACAAAAAGAGCAAAGAGTAAATAGCTTCGTTGCCGGCAAAGCCTGACAATTTTCTCACGCGAATTTGTACCCTTCATCCGAATTAACCTGAGCAGTTCATCACAATGACGAGGAAGGCCCACGCTGGAGGAGAACTTCCCCGCAGCGATTGATCGCCGATCTCCCGCACATTTGGGGACATCCATGCCCCCCTCATGCGGGGTAGCTGTCCTGATTGGGGAAGAAGCTGCCCCTGGCGACGAACGCCTTCGACGTCATCACCCGGTCATTGACGCCGGAGCTTTCATTCCAGCCCGGTCTGGTTCCTCCTTCATCCTCCACTCTCCCAGGCCATTGGCACTTGCCATGTCACTTTTCAGCTCTTTGCAGATGGCAGGGGCGACAGGGGTATGGTTTGCGTGAGTCCGGCAGGCGGAAGGAGCTCCTTCGCCTTGGTCTTCAGCTGCACTTGCCGTCGTCATTTCGACTCCAATTGCGTTTGAAGCACGTGTGACGAGCTTCGCCCCTGCCCATTTGTCCTCCGTCGCCGGTCCGACGCTAGCCATAGGCGAGAGGGAGGAGGCAATTGAGAATTCTTTCTCGTCCCTTCAAAATCTGCTATTTGCTCTCTTCTTTTCCAATTTTCCCATTGACCTACTACTTCCCGATACCAACTTCCAACCTTTCCTCCTTCAATTCTCCCAACTTTGAAGTCGTTGATCCTTCCAACTGTACACAACTTGCCATAATAATACCATCCTTTCACCAGACCGCCAAGATGATGTCCGCAAGACCCCTCGTTCGCTCGACGCTCCCCAGAGCTACCCGGGCTGTCCGCGCACCCCGCCAGCAGCTCCGTTTCCAGTCGACGACCGCCTCATCCTCAACAGGCGGAACCAGCTCTCACTTCGGAGCCGGTGTCGCTGGTGGCCTTGCTGGTGCTGGTATCTTCTACGCCCTCTACTCCTTCACCCCCGCTGGTCGCGCTGCCTCCAAGGTTAACAAGGCCGCCAAGGAGGCCGAGAAGAAGTACACAGCCGCCGCCCAGAAGCTGCAAGAAAACACACCCTCTACCGATGAAGCTATCGACTACATCAAGCAGTTCGCTTACTCCTATGTTGGCTGGATCCCTGGTGGCCGCTCCTACGTCGACTCTGCTTTCAATGACTTCGAGACTGTCCGCAAGAACCACAAGGAAGAGGCCGACAAGATTGTTGATGATGCCTACAAGCAGTTTCAGGAGGTCGCCAAGGCCGGCCTGAGCCTCGAGGCCGTCCACAAGGCATACGAGGTCCTCGCAGACATCACCCAGAAGCTCGCAAGCCTTGGAGGTGACGCCATTGGGGACATCGTCGACAACCACCCTCAACTGAAGGAGAAACTTGGAGGAAACATTGACCAGCTCAAGGACTTAGGAGACAAGTACGGCCCCGAGGCCAAGAAGCAGGTCGACGAGACATGGAAGCAAGTCAAGGACGTCTTGGCTGGCGGCTTCACTGCCAGCAACTTCGACAAGGTGCGCAAGCTCATCGAGGAGAAGATTCAGCAGGTTCAGAAGCTCGGCGACGAGGCTTGGAAGAAGGCGCTCGAGGAGGCCAAGCCCTACCTTGACAAGAACCCCAAGGTCAAGGAGCTGATTGAAAAGAATGCCGACGCGCTCAAGAAGGGCAACGCCAAGGAGCTATTCGAGAAGGCGAAGAAGGCTACCGAATCCGGAGACCTTGGAGGCCTGGAGAGCTATGTCACCGATGCCGTCGACAAGGCCAAGTCAAAAGGCTCTCAAATCGGTGAGAGCTTTGGTCTCGATCAATACTTTAAGATGATCCCCGACGGAGACAAGATTATCCCCAAGCTGAAGCAGCTCCGCGAGGTCGCAGACAAGCACAAGGAGGAGGGAGAGAAGCTCTTCAAGGAGACTATTGAGGAGGTAAAGAAAGTCCTTGAGGCTAAGTCGAAGAAGGCGGAAGAGATTGCCGAAAAGGCCAAGAAGGACGCCAAATAAGGGACTCGTCTCCGGATCCATACAATTGATACCCCCATCAAGACGTCTCGATGGACTACGACTTGTACCATAATACTTGAAGAGCATTTCCTGTGTAGCAAAAGGTCAATGGTTGGGATCACCGCCATTTAATCGCCCATGGTTCTGTGAAGTGTGAATCTGTATTGAGACATTATCTGCTTAAGTATTAAATGTGCTTCGCACCCGTTCTCCGAATTCAAATATCCTGTGGCTTGTACAACACCCGCTCTTTCAGCAATCGAGGTGTATCTGGGTCATGGCTAGGAAGAACAACCACATCACTCTGTTTCGCAAAGGCCTTGATCTTTCGCAAGCTGTCCAACGCCGACATGGGGTCGTCATTGATACCATCCGGCTCTTCCTTATCCAGCAAATCGATACCATAGCTCGCGTCCCCAAGCAAGCAGTACGTCGATGTTGTTCCGTCCTCGTTATCGCCATACACGACTAGCGAAATGTGGCCGGGGACGTGACCGGGTGTATGCACCGCCACAACCTTCCCATCAGCCGTGATCCGGCCAGACGTCTCCCACGGCCCCACGGCCCCGGCCGAGAAATCCACAAGAGTAGGCTGGAATCCTTCCGGCCAGTGCTGTGGCACGCACCCCGCAAGCGTCGCGGTCATGGGGCTATTCCCAAAAGCGGCCCAGTGCTCCTTGCTCACGAACACAGGAACGTCCGGCGCAGCAGTTTTCAGAGCCTTCAATCCGCCAGCGTGGTCGCCGTGGAGGTGACTCAGCACGATGGCCTGCAGATCGCTGGGCTCCACACCGAGACGCTGCAATTGCTGCACGATGCCGTCTTCAGGCTTGATGTCCACGCTGCTGAACATCTTTGTCGGGGATAGGTAGGGGAGGTAGCCCGGGTCATTGAAGCAGGGAGACTCGCCCGTGTCGAAGAGGATTGGTCCGCCTGGGTGGGCGATGAGGAAGACGCCGATGGGGAGGGGTTCCGTCCATTGGCGGTTTGCGATGCAGCGGAAGCGGCGCAGGGTGACGAATTGGTCGAGGTAGGATTTTACCGGTTGGCTTTTCATGGGGAGTTTGATGCGGACTGAGCCGGTTGAGAGGAAGGTCAGGCTGACCCTCTTTTGTGCGTCTGTACCCATGTTGGAGGTTGTGTTGGAGGTGATTGATAGGTCTGATGCACCACAGATTGTCAGAGGTAACGATTGAGCCGTGGACCGTCTGGACTTTATTCGAGAGGTTTCCCTTGATGTTCGACTTTGAGATTTGAAGCTTTCGATTCGTAAGCTGAACGGCCTACGCCTTTGTGTGCCGAGATCCCACATGTACCGAATGCCGGTTGGCGCCCCTTTCAATCCCGGCTCTAAGCCAAAGTGGATCAGCTAGCGACACAAGGTTGCCACGAGCAATTTCTAGACAATGGGGTTTGCATTGAAGAATATTTGAACTGTATAAGGGACTCCCCATTCAAGTTGTACCGTCTTTACTGATGGTGGTTGGAACACTTGAAACGTAGAAGCTAAGGTAGAGAGAAGAAGGAAACCCAACTGATGTGCACGCATCGTCAAGATCTCACTCATATTACCTTATCTCTCATCACCATCAGGATCATTCAGATACCACGTTGAATCAGACCCATCAAGCTCCTTCGTCGATATCCCATTCCCTAGATACGCGAACCGATTTCTTTTCCTCTCATACACATAATCCCAATCCTCACCTCGAAAGTTCTCCAACATGTGGAAAAAGTGGATTCTGCTCCCGGGATGCAGCGCCGTGACGGGTCCATCCACAGCACCACCTTTGAACCAGGACCTGCAGGACCCTGCCCACGCTGTTCGCGGCATGAAGGCTTGGGTATGTTCGTGAAGCTCATTGACTGCGTCGAGGCTGGGGCTGATGGATTTGATGCCCTCAGTTTGGCATTTCTTGATGATGCCGGCGATGTATTTTGCGAGCAGCTCGGTTATCGTGAAGACACTGCCATGACCGATTGGGGCATTTGGACCGAGGAAGACTGGATTATCTGTTAGCAGAGTGAGGGGTATATGATTATACTACCATATATGAACTTACCAAAGTAATTAGGCATCTCGGGAACCGCGCAAGACATGTAGGCTTTCGGGATATCCTTGGCCCAGATATCCTGGAGATTTGTAGACCGCCGTCCAATAATGGGAAACCGCGGGCGAAACGAGACATCGAATCCGGTGGCACACACGATGGCATCAACCGCAATATGTTCTCCGGATTCTGTAACCAGGCCATCCGTGACTACGCGAGCGATTCCTCCCGAGATGACTCTCGCATTGGGTTTCGTCAACGATTCTAGGTACCCCACGCCTGGTGTCATCCGACGACAACTAATAGGAAACTTGGGGATCAGGATATCGATCAGTCTCTGGTCGTCGTTGAGTGCTGATTGCATGTATTGAGTGACACCTTCTGTTGCTTGTCGGTGAGTCTCCGAGTCTTTTAATACCTAGAGCCTCATAGTTAGTGGAAAGTTCAGAAAAGGGAAGATTGGGTCACCAACGAGGAAGAAATTGTTGTTAACTTGCTCCTCTATGGCCTTTACGAAAGACTTGTAGAGTGCAGGATCCGATTTGAACTTGTCAATCTGAGCTGGCGTGAAGTTCTCATCATCGTCCAACTCGATCTGCTCCATCGTTTGCTTTGCTTTGCCCAGTAGCAATGTCTGAACCCGAGGCGGCATAATCCAAGTTGGTCCCCGAATAAAATGAATCATTTCCTTTGCGTCTTTCCCTGTTGGGTCAGTCTTTTCATGGCATGCAACTGAAACTTTCCAGAACTCACCTCTTTGTACAGCTGGAACGATCTGAACACCAGATGAGCCATTGCCTATGATGGCGACTCTTTTCCCTTTCCAGTCAAACTTATCATCCCAGTCGGCGCTATGAAGGAGGGAGCCGGAAAAGTCGTGCAAGCCGGGAATATCTGGCCACTTCCAGTTGCTGTACCAAGGTCAGCGTTAGCAGCAACAGCACTCGAATTAAAATCGTAGTGAGTTGACAAAAGGCGTTTGCGTACTTGAGAATACCACTCGCGTTCAGCAGAAACTCGCAATAATCCTCAAACTCCACACCGTCCTCCAAGTTCTTCACCCTGACCGTCCATCGCCCAGCATCTTCATCCCAGAATGCTCCTGTCACGAGATGATTAGTCTTGATCTGGCGCCGTAGGTCTTCGCCGTCACACAAGCGGCACAAGTACGCCTGAATCTCTTCCGCCGGAGACAGAAAGCTGCTCCACTCTTTATTCGGCTTCCAGGAGAATTGGTAGTTGTGCGAGGGTATATCGCATTTGCATCCCGGATAGCGGTTTTCGTACCAAGTACCTCCAACTTCGGGGTTCTTCTCATAGACAATGTGTTCGAAGTTTGTGAGTTTCTGACGAAAGGTGCGGATCATGTTGAGGCCGCTTGCGCCGCTGCCGATTGTGATGATGCGGACCCTTTTTCCTGTTCCTAGGGGTTGTTCGACGACTACGTAAGGCTCAGCAGGCTTGGGATCTGGTGTTCGTGAGTTCCCAGGTCCGAGATGCTTGCTGATCTGAGTTATGCGCGAGGAAGCCATGTTGATTCTCGGTCAGATGGACACTGGGATAGGGCGTTGGTTCAATTAGAGCGCTTTGCCTATCGGGGAACCTGTAAGCAACTGTCACGCACTAGGCTTCCAAGCAAATGAGAGTGGACTCAAAACTGTTTTATACGAGTATGCATGTCGCCTGGATGTGCTGGTATGATCACAGCAACAGGCCGTACTGCTGTGATTGCCAGCACGATGATGCCTCGGATTCGGCGTCGAATGCTCACCGTAGGCATAATCAACCCCAATCAGCTTAGATGTCAATGGATCGCATCGCTTATTACCCAACATGAGTTCCCGAGCAATAGTGGGCCTTCATCTTCACGTCTAGGAGAGAAGCGCCGGCACTCTCGGTACTCGGCACATGGCATTCGGCACTCGATGCCCCGCAAAATCAGGGTCAACGCTCTACAAGATTCGGCAAATACAGAGTCTAGGAAAAAGAAAATACAAAGACCACGAAAGTCTTACACTCCGCCATACCTGAAGGCCCATGTAATCTCTTGCGGATGAAGCCGCTGTCACTACACCCGACCCTAAGCATGCTCGTCCGAGCGTAATCCCCGCATCTACTGTCTGTTTCCTCCCGTCTCGACGGCAGCGCAAATACTTGCGCTCTAACACCTATTCATCAAGTCGGGCGGTGTATGATCCACGGAAACACCCATGCTGGTCATAGTCTGAATTTCTACGTGATGTCCTCGCACGAGATATACGGATTTCGGCCATGAATAATCCGAGATCCAAGACCTATCAGGAGTCAATCGCGTCATGTGTTTGGCAACACCTTGCTCCAGGAATTTGATAGATGACTTCCTCTCCTCGTGCCTCCTAGGCTGCATGAAGGCCAACTGAGATACGTCAGCCTTTTGTTCCTCAAAAGGAAACTTCACAATCTTCAAGTCGACCTTAATCCCGAGAATAGCAGCAGGTACGGCACACCCTTATTCCCCAAACGCCAAGTGCGCATTAAGGCCAGCACCATGATCAACACGAATCAATTCTCAAAGGACCCCGCTTCATCGCCTGATCCCAAGTAGAGTGCTTTGATGCATCTCTACAATCTTTCTGTCTAAAATAGACCTTTATTGGGTTTATTAATCATATGGTAAGGTAGGCCACATCCTGTTGTTCGGTGAGCAACCCAGGTCTGAGAGGCATTTTCTTCATTTGAGCTCGCGCCTAATTTGAAGCCATGTAAGACCAGATTTTTTTTCCCACCTTTGGAGAGGGGTGGAACGATGATGGCTGCATTGGTTGATTGACTACATGGGCAACAGCACACCGGAAATCAGCATGAGTATTCCTTTCCAGAGCCTTGGATTCGATGAGTCTCTGTCAAGTGTCCCTGCCATCGGATGGAAACTTGCGTAATCTGCTCACGTTTGTTGTATCTTCGTGTACAATTAGGACATCTTTGCTCTTTCTTCCTTTGTGGTACCCCTGACTTTGGCAAAAATATCGCTTGCAACAGCCAAAGCTTCTCTGCCGGCCGGAACGCCGCAGTAAATCATCGCATGCCGGCAAGTCTCTACAATCTTCTCTTCAGAAATACCAAGGTTGAGTGCTGCCGCGATATGTATGCGTAGTTCTGGGGTCCTGTTGAGCGCTATCATCATGCCAATGTTGACCAGAGACCTCTCCTTAAACTCGAGTCCGGGACGAGCATAACTAGAGAAACACACTTCCGCAATGTATTCGGCACTGACTTTGCTTGGAAGATCGTCGCGCTATCACTCTTCTCTCAGCTTTATCCCTTGCACGGTATTGTAGTGTAATGGTTTACCTACTGCTTGCTCTTGAATGGCGCTAAGAAGTTTGGCCCCCAAGAAGGCTTGAGCCATTTGGGCACCCTGTACCAGCCTTTCGCTAGGTTCCGACATGATCTTGTTGCAGTCTTGAATTCGTGATGGTTTTCTTGAAAGCTAGTATGTGGTCTGAAGTATGTAGTTGTAACGGAAGCAGCAAATATTCCACCTTCAATCTTCAATCCGATCTGCTGGGATCCTTCTCTGTTAGCCGTCCTATGTACAACAAAGGGAAAGCTCGACTAGGTCTTAAATAGGTGGTGACATCTATATTAAAACTTCTTCTATCTCAATCCGGAAACCGAACATAAGAGCGAACGGTGCAGTGCCGAGAGCCGAACTGCCGGAAGCTCAGAGTTATCCTTTGGGGAACACGGCGCCGAGGTCGGTAAACTCATGCCGACCTACGCATCAGCAAGACCTTAAGCAATAGTGAGGCCGAAGCTGTATTGAATCATGGTATAATACCTAGTGGTAACCGGTGTTCGCTGGCATGTGAAAGTCGGGGCGTTAGCCATTGGCGCCATCGAAATTTGTGAAGTCCATGCCAAGTACATCCATGAACGAGTTAATGTCGTCGAAATCCTCACCCATCTGCCCAAAATTTCCAAAAGCATCGTCCTGGAAAACAACTTCGTCTCTAGTGTCGTTATTCTGTGATAGGATATCCATGTTCTCGCACATTTCTGATGGAAAGGCAAATAGGTCGCCCATATGGCGCTGCACAATCTTTGCTGTTGACAAAGTATGGGAGCCTGCCGTGTCGCTTCTCGTACACGAGGACTCATCAACCCGGTCACCCCCAAAGTCTCGTGGCGCGTCTTTAAACTTTTGCAAAATAGCGCGAGCACCTCCATACTTGGCGCTCATACCCTCAAGAATGGAATGTATAACATCAAGATCTCTGCGGAGTAAGGTCTCTTTCTCTTGCGATTGAGGTTGATGAGATATTAAGACAACACCGACGGCTAATACAAGGAAGGCGTGGTAGTGTATCAGGTGTACAACTCTCTCTCTGCATCGGATCTCGTCATAAAGCCGAGCAGCACAGGATGCAGCAAGGACCGATGCCGGCGAAGTTCTCCACGTCGGCGATGCACTTCTGCTGGCCGTCTGAGTCAGGATGATGGCGACGAAGTAGAAGATGAAAGTCTCGGTGCGTTGTTGATTGAATGGCTTTCTGGTGCCGTCGGGGTTGAAAAGTCGTAAGTCTTCGGGCAAGTCAGCCAGCCAGCCGTAGAGTGATGCGACGACAGCTTCGACTTCTGCCGACGTTGGGCCACCTTTCCTGGATTTTAGGGTGGTGATGACCCCGACGATCTGAATGAGCTTCGTCATCCAAGTTGTAGCAATCGCGCCAAAGTTCTGCACTGAAAAGTCTTCCTCTGAGATCGGCGGTACATCAGTGTCTTCAGGCCTGAGGAGAAGAGGTCGACCCCAGCAGGCTGTCATGAGAATTTCACTCGTCTGCGTCAAGTCATTAATCACGTTTCTTTGAAAGCAATATTCTGGCCGGTGTTTGAGGAAGAGTAAATGCATGATGCTCACCTGAAGATGCCAGAATATTCGCCGCAAGCAACCAGCACCCTGGCGATTGGAATATGATGACTGTTTCTGAAGACCAAGTTGAAGCGCCATTCGCGAAGCCATGCCCGTCCAGTGCCATGGACCATCTAGCGTGACGAGGTAGGGGGAAGACGCGCTCCAGCATGACATCAGGCACAGAGATTTCAGCACCGTCAACTGGTCAGGCTCGAAGCCAATATGAATCAGCGTTTTGGCTTTCTCGTATTGCGAACTCGCGAGACCGACGCTATCCTCTCCGTGTCGCATTAGGCCGCCTGCTAAGCAAACTACTTGCTGGAGAAGCACAGATGCATTTGGGCCGGCAACATCACCGGGGTCGACCACGGAGTAGTAAAATACGACGTGCTCAAAGAACGAGTCCTTCAGAGCCTGTAGTAGGACGGGGTGCGGAAGAATGCTAGCCCCGGTGACTCTTAGAATCGCCTCATTTACACCAACGTTTCCAGTGGCAAGATTGTCTAGCACGACATTGGGTGGTGTCTTGACTGGGTCGTGCATGATGGAGCCTTTGTCAATAAAGCTGCTAGGTCTCCAAACAATATCTCGCTGGAGACTGCTGCTGGTCTCTGAAAGTTTGCTGACTGCCTCTCCTGTTGGGCTGTTCCTCGGGCTGGTCATCTGATCTGACACCGGCAACGAAACAGATGGCGTTCTGATGCCGGCCTCGCCCAAATCAGTCCCCCGCGGGCGCCTCTTCCGGACTCCATTACGGAGACTTATTCTCGCTAGTCAGCATCTCTGTTGCGAGAGCATGCCATGAAGGAGCGAACGTACACGCAGGGAACTTGGGCACGTCGACAATTTCGACACGTCTTATCTTGGCTTACTTGTAAGTCGCATTTTACCTAAATACTTCGTGTTATCTCAGCTCCATGTCGAAATAGAGATATAGATACTTTTGGCTAGGAAGTAGCTTACTTTGCGTGAGTGACATTCAACACACACAATGTTCGCACGGTCCCTTAACGATCGCCGAGGTCTCTCCATACTCTCATTGCCGTGCTCAAAGAGCTTCTCCGTATTCGTTGTGGATGAGGTGGACTTCGACTGGATGCAGACGTGACCTGAGTTTTGATTCTTCAATCCAGGTTGAAAGCTCACGGTGCGGGGCGAAAAGCCTTTTCTATGGAGCCTGTGGGCTGCCGGGAGGCTAGCCGAGGCCCCGGAAGCTCCGGGTTTGCGGGGTGCATGGACCAAGAGTCCCATAAAGAGGGAGTCTGGACTGGCCAAGCTGATCTGGTACAAGCAACGATGAGGATCTAAGACCATGAGTACGACACATCACATTTCATCGAGACGGCCATGTCATGTGACCATCAGGCTAAATTGACAAGAGAAACCTACATGGTATTCAACGTCCCTCTGAAAAATCAATTGCGTTCTATCTGCGGTCCAGGCTTGGGTGGCTAGAACCCATCTTAAAGGATGCATGCTTGCGCTGGTGACGGGTATTTAGACGTTCGAAGGATAGCTGTTGTCTCGGAAACGACACGCGACGAATAGCCGGGTGTGTCGGACCAGGAGTACACCTCCTTGAGCAAAAAGTCGGGTGACCGAGTTTCCCTTTTTTCGGGCTGAAAGGTCATCGGCTTA